TTGTGGATATTTAGATTCCAGAGGAAGAGATAAGATATAAGTTTCAGATATGCCCTGTTAAACTTTCTGCAAGTTCAAAGGAGAGATGGGAATCATATTTTTCTTGGATTCTCAGTAAAATTTTCCCAGGGAGGGAGGCATAAGGATAGTGGCTGGAAGAATGTGTATTTTAGGGGCTGGGGATGTGGCTCAAGTGGTAGCGCACTTGCCTAGCATGCATGAGGCACTAGGTTCGATTCTCAGCACCACATAAAAATAAAATAAAGATATTGGAGAAAAAAAGAATGTGTATTTTAATAGACAGAGATGGAAGGGAGAAAAGATAATTAAACCCATAACACAAAAGAGACAGGAAAGTCAGATTGTGGAGGGTCTTATTTGTCAATATTGAGAGTTTGGGTTACATTCTGTTTGCAATGAGAGTCATGAAAGGCTCTGGCATGATCAAGGAACCTGTGGAGGTGTGGTAAGAGATGAAAGAAGAGCTTGAATGTAGAGGACACTCTATTCTCTGAAGCAATACTCGTACTCTAGGTGGAAAATAGTAAATGGTGTGGAACTCAGGTAATAGCAATGCATATAGAGGTAAGGGAGGAGCATGAAAGATGCTTAAAAGGGTCCTGGTCATTAATTGGAGAGTTCATTTATCCTCTTGACAGAGAATGTCAGTAAGATATTGCAGCTAGTTGCTAGGGCACAAGAATAGGCAAAACATGCATAATTCCTCCCTCGTGTATGGTATAGTAAACATTTACCTTAAAATGAATGTGAAATAGGATGCAGATTATGAATGAGAGCTACATGTTATAAGAGCTTGTGGTGGGAGATTTGATGAGTCAGGGAGGAAAGGAAGAAATGCTACCTTGACAAGGCGACTTGTGAACTGAATGGAATATAGGGTGTGAATTAGGTGCAGATTGAAAGGAAGTACACTGTTGGCAGAGGGTACAGCATGAACAGTGGCCCATTGTAAACAAACAGGCCTCAAATGAGGTCACTGTGGAAGATGAGGCTGCAGAGACCATACCACATCATGTCTGGAGGATGCAGCACTCTGTTGACTACTGCTAGTTCAAGCGCCAGTGCCAAACATGGTAAGGAGCTTGTTCTAGAATGTGTAAGTCAGCACACTGCTTCTTTTATCAAGAAAATCTTGTTCTAAAAAAGCCTGCTGAACTGCCTTAATGCAAAAGTGACTTACACTCTGAAGTGAGCTCCTTATATTAGGAGAACAGTAATAATTCCCAACCAGCAGCCAGTGTGTGGCTCCATGCTGAGTGGAGATGGTTGTGAGTTTTGTCTTTATCCTAAGAGCAATAGGAAATCTCAGAAGGATCTGAAGGAGAAGTGGTAGTGGCTACATTACAGAGCACAGTTTGGAAGGTAGCTAGAGTGAGAGGAAAGACGACAAGGAAGTTTGTGTCTTGTTAAAATAGGAGATGGCCTTTTCAGGTGAGAGAGCAGGAATTTAGAGTGAAGTCCAGTGACAATCTAAAAAGAGTGGAGGAGATTTGGGATAAACATGTGAATATCCCATAAGGAAGGGAGTAGAAAAATGAAAAGTGACCACATGTCAGTTAAAATAAGAGAGCCTATGCTGTCAGCAGGTTGACGTTCTGAGACTGGATCCAACAAAACTTGTTTCTCTGGAGCAGGTAAAGAGGGTCAATTTCAAAGATAAGTAGAGGGCACAAGCATTGTGGTTCAATGGAAAGAAAAGTATCTAGGAAGTCAAGTAAAATATTGTCAAGATCAACTCTGAGTAGAGTATGGTGAGTAAGAGGTAACAGGATGCCTTCAGCTGTTTTGTGGTCAACATTCACTCACCAGACCCCTTAGAAGAGGAGAGTATATCTCTCATATTGCCCGGTAGCATATCACTCCCAAGTCATCACCTGCAGGGAGGCCAAAGCATTTTGTCCTGGGCCAGGTTTGAGCCCATCTTCTCAGAGGATCCCAGAGATGCTGTGCACAGGCACCTTTCATTCACAGTGTTCAGGGCAACATGTGGGTGAACAAACTCACCAGACATCCAAAGAAGAAATAAAACCATAATTTAATTGAAGCAGAGAAGAGATTGTTAGGCAAGGCTTGACAGAGATCTTGCCACAGTGAAAATGAGTAAGCTCAGGAAAAATAAATTTTAAATTCAAATGTTAAATGATTAATTAATATGATGGAGGCTTCCCTGAGCTGTGTCAATAGGTACCAGCCACAAAATGCTGATGATGACTTGTGATGATGAGGAGATTGTTCCAATAATTAGTAATCATTCAGCACCTCTTCTGTATCAACACTGTGCAAGATTGGCTTAGGGAATACAAGCATGAATGAGACATGCTCCTTGACTATGGAAGGAAAATCATGTAAAAAAGATGCCAGTGTTTTGTACTAAGTGTGTGTTTCAGGAACGTCAGGGAGCAGAGAAGCAGGGCACTAAAGAAATAGGAGAGATGAGTGTTAGGAGAAAAAGGCCTCCCTGGGATGGTGCCCACAAGCCAAGGCTTGGGGAAAAAATTGAAGTTAGACCACTCAGGAGTAGCATGATTAAAGGGCTGGGTAGGAATGACAGTATCAGAAACTTCAAGAAGTTCCATGTGTCTAAAGAAGACACATAGGAAGGAATGTAGTAAGAAATAAATCATTGGAGGCACTCCAGTTACGAAGGTGCCTAAATGCCAAGCTAAGGAATACAAATCTGATTCTGAACGTAATGAGAAATATTTGGTATTCCCAAGATTTGATGTGTGGAGAGAGATATCTTTGTCAGAAGCCATTAATATTAAGGGGGAAGTTCAAATTGAGCCAGAGATAAAATCAGCAAAAGAAACTGCAAAATGTCAGAAAAGGTAGAGGCTGAGGATGGAAACCAAAAGAAAACCAACATGTAGAATAAGTAAGCAAGAGAAACGAAAATTGGAAATGATTTAAATTTTTTACTGACAGGAAAACAGACAAGTGAATTATTTATTTTCTTATATG